CTAACGCCTATAATCACTTAATTTTGATTTAAAAGATAAATCGTGATAAGTTACCTAACTTTTCTTTCGCACAAAATTCCTCTACTGTCACGAGTACTTATTTACTTGAATAAAACATAAAATATGAATTGATTAGAATTTATCATATATTTTCAATTAATTACGATTTATACTTTGATATACAGGAATTGCATTGAAAGCGTAAGTCCATGAATCTTCATTAGTCTTTAGATATAAGATAAGATAAGTGCTTGTACGCAATTTGTGGAAGACTGCTCTAGGAATTTCTGACAAAAATATTCAAAATGTACATATTCAGTGGTATTAATGAAAAGATGTGGCCGTGAAATTGTAACGAAATTAGCTGGAGTGCCAATTTTATTACTATTCTCCTTGTTTACAGAGACAACGATAATATCTTCTACGATAAAGAACAAGATAACGGATATCTTCTTTTAGGTTTATTACAAATCTTAAATCAATATTCTGTTATCTCGCGATTGTTTAACGCGTATAACACCGAACAGAATTGCATAATTTCCGTATTGTAGAATCGAGCAAACGGCATGCCAAACAACAAATAATTTTTTATTATTGTCACAAAATGGATTAAACGGTATTTTATTCCACTCAAATTTATCTGCACGTATCTGCGATAACAGCAAATTAGGCACAGACATAAAAAAGTGATCATTTCGCAAGGGAAAAATCTGAAAAAATTCTCAGACATGTCCAACTACACTATGAACATGAAAAATGTAGCCGTAAAAAATAAAGAAGTACTAAAAATAACTTTTTCACATAGNTGATATTGTTTTAATACTCTGTTATTGGAAATAAAAGTAACACGAAATTATCAAATAAATTGTAAATACTATTTACAGAAATTGTAAAAATAGATGTGGATTATTGGCAATTTCGAAAAGTAGATTCGAATTTGGATCACAATAACTATGCTCTAAAAGTTTGTACAATGAACGCTAGGTGGCAGATCGTTCCCACAAGTGCTTTTACCAACTTTACGTGATATATACAAGAGACACATTACACATCGGTTATCCTTGTCTAAGGGGAGCAAAGTATTCAATGATCGTTTAGTGAGGGTACTGTTGCTGAATCCCATTAACAAATTATTCTCCGCATCCACGATATATTATTATCGTGTGATGCAATTTTTGAAGGCCTCTTTACTTCAGAAGAGGCTTAAGAGTGAAGTATTCATTTATGAACCATAAAACTGCTGAATACTTTCTTACAATACAAGTGATAAATGAATCGATTTGAATTTTTTAGGAGAAAGAACTAAGTACATTATTTTTAATTATTCATTCAACCGAGCTTTTAACATTCATTTTACAATATGTTAATTAGAGTGTCGTTACAGTCCAGTAAAGTTCATCTCATGCACTCTGTTAATATAAAAATATTTCAATTGAACTGTTATAGTTCATATCTTTGATTTTTCATATAAAAATACAGTTCGTAGTCCTATTTAATACCTTGTCACTGATAAGGTAACTAGACATATGACAGCACATTTTTCCAATAAAAATGTACATATTTTACAAGTGAGATTAATATAGGAACTGAATTGGGATCTTTTTTGCTGATTAGATTATTTTTAATTATTTATCCAACCCAGCTTTCAACGTTAGTTTTACAATATCTATCATCGTTATGTCTAAATGCTTTTAGCAATCGTGTCATGGTTCAGGAAATGTTTAATTACAAGCAAAAGTGTAGGACTTATGTTATAGGTGCACAATCTATAAGTATAGAAATATTTCAATTAATCTAAAATGACCTATTTACACTCAATGTAAGTTCTGTGCTAGTTCTGTACAGTAAAGAAAAGTTGCTACGTTAAAAATTCCTTTTTCTTAATTAATTCAAAAATTAAAAATTACTAAGAAATATATTTAAAATAGATGTTTTGTATATTATCATTGCAGAATAGATATCATTTTTTAGTTTGCTGTTTATTAACATTTTATACGAATTTCCATACATTCACATTCAATTCTCCAAAACTCTCTTATATAAAAATTGTTATTCGTAGAATAGTAATACGTGTCAGTAGAAGATATTTTCAGTCAGATGACTTTTTAGATAACTGTACAGCTCGACCTTGATAACGTATAATTAGCTCGGCTCAATAGTAATTAATTTGAAAGTTATTTCCAGAAACATTCATTCCATTAGCGCGATACAAGTTCTGATAGTGAATTACTATCATACCCGAGGGAATAATTCATCGTTCACAAATGAAACACGAATGTATTTAATATTTATTTGGATTTAGGAGTGGATTAGGATTTAGAATATTTAGTGTAGGCTTGTAGGGAAATAGAAAGAGGTATAAGAATAAGAGAAATACTCAACGGAAGAAAAGCTAAAAGGGTGAGACTTGGCTAAGGAAGACTGGAGAAAGAAAAAAAGAAAAGAGACATAGTATAATAA